CACCTTTATTATTTGCATATTCAATGATAATATACATAGCAAATGCTAAAGAATAAATGCTAAAAAGAGAAAAAATGAAAAATTAATTGAAACAAGATATCAACTCAGCGAAGTGGCAGGCTACAAAACCAATATACAAAACTCAATTCTCTTCCTGTATGCAAGCAAAAAGCATGAAATTAAGAAAGTGATCACATTTATACTTAAACATGAAAAACTTTAAATACCTGGAGGTAAGCCTAACAAAATACATGTAGAGCCAATGCAATACAATACAATACAATACAATACAATGTTAAAAGAAACATTAGACATAAAGAAATGGAAGAATATTCCCTTCTCATGGACTTAAACAATTAGCTATGTCAGAATTGTCATCTGACTCAAACTGTAGAGATTCAATAAGAGTATTCACAAAACTTCAATAACATTCTTTAAAGAAATAGAACAAACATTGCCAATTTTCACATAGTGTTATAAAAATCTCTAATAGTAAAAGCAGTCCTGACAAAAAGAGGGAAAATGGCAGCATAAATAATCCAGGTTTCAAACTATACCAAAAAACTATAATAATTAACACAACATTGGATTAGGGTGGGAGGGGGGACAGACACACAGACCAATGGAATAGACATGCTGGCCCAATTACCTACATGGACAATTAAACCCTTACCTACATGGACAATTAAAATATGACAAAGTTGTGAAGAATATACATTGGACAAAAGGGCAACTTCAATAAGTGTTATTAGGAAAACTGGAAAATTATGTGCAAAAGAATGAAACTAATCCACTATTTCACATAAAAGTTAACTCAGATTGGATAAAAACATGTGTGTAAGAACTGAAATCATAAAATACATAGAAGAAAACATTGGCAAAACATGACATCACATAAAGCTTAGTGATGTCTCTAGGTATTCTTTCCAAACAACAATGAAAGCAAAGAGAATATAAGCAGCTGGGACTACATTAAACTAAAAAGCTTCTACACACAATAAAGAAGCCATACTGAAATGAAGAGACACTTTGCTGAAAGGGAGAAAATATTTGCACACCACATCTACTAAAGCCCCACAAACCAAAACAAATAGCCCAATCAAAAATTGGCTGAAGAACTAATCTAATCAGACACTTTTCCAAAGAAGACATAAAGGCTGAAATCAGGCTCATGGAAATATGTTCACCACCACTTATCACTAGGGAAATGCAAATCAAAACAATAATGAGATACCAGGTCATACTTTAAGAATGACTCATATAAAAAAATACAGAAATGAAATGTACAAAAATACGTAAAAATAAACTATTATAAAATAATAACAAAAATACAGAAATGACAATTCCTGGAAAAGATGTGGAAAAAATAGATATCCTAACAATGTTGTTGGGAGAGTAGACAGGTACAGCACCTATGGAAAACATTATGGATGTTTCTCAAAAGATCAAAAATATATCTACCACATGACACAGCAATTCCACTCCTAAGTATTTATTCCAATAATATAAAAACTCTAATTTCAATGAAAACATGCAGACACATGCATTCCCTGAGATTTTTCTTGGGAAGGACATCATATGTTTATTACTTTGCAGAAAATGTACAGGAGACTTGGAATGAATATTAAATACTACAGGCTATGTCTGAAGTAGAAGTCTTAAATCAAAAAAATCCACAATATTAGTGCATAAGATATGTGTAGCTACTATTATATGGTCATTATTAAACAATAATTTTCAATGAGCAAAGCTTATTTTGGAGACTGTTTTTTCCTGAGGCCCGTTTCCCTGGGACTCAGAAAAGATGAACAAATTTGTATGGATGGAAATAAAATAAATAAATAATTAGGAAATAATATATTCACTCATTCTCTTGGGTATGAACATTAATAATAGAATTTTCTAACATTCATTAAACTGTTGCTCTGTACCAGAAAATATAATAAATTTTATACACGTTATTTTATCAACATATGCTAACAAGTAGAAAAGCTGATATGCAACCCGTAGTGTTACCCCGTCAGTAGAGCACATGAATGTAAGACAGAAAAAGAGAGAGTTTATTTGTGTGTGGTATGTGTGTGTGTGTGTGTGTGTGTGTGTGTGTGTTTCAAAGATCTTTAGAATGTTTGGTATATAGTCACTTTTCATTAAATCTGAAAAACTGAGCTAACATGATGACTTTTTCATAGGTTCAGTCATCTGTCTGTCTCTTAAGAAGTAAGGGCTGCCTCTTTTCTGTATCAAACACTCCAGTGGTTTTCGACAAAAAGTGCCAATGTGTGCATATTTCTTAGGGTTACCTAGATTCTTTTTGATTGGGGGCTGGTGGCTCTTTCTTGTATCTCTGAGTTCATGATACTAAAGTCTAGACCTAGAACAAAACTTTCTTCTTTGAATTACTTCCTCAGAATCATTTTTTGTCCCTTCCTCTGTTTCTTTAGCAGTTTATAAAACTGTGACATGTTTTTTTTTTTTTAATTTTTATGTATTTGTCTCTCTTGCCAAATTTTAAAGCCTGAATGCCCTGAGTTATTTCACATGAAGCAGTTTTGTGAAGTGTCCCAGAAATAACCATCACAATTTCTGCAAAGTGAGATTTTGAAATTATTCTCACACAGTTTATTTATTGTCTGTCTCTGATAGCTTGCAACAAATATGCTAAATTGAGTTTTTGAGAATGAAGGAGTTAAGTTTTTCCAAGGAAACAAAAACCTTTAGTAAAGGTCATTTTAAATTCCTATAGTATCATGCAATTTATGGGAAGAAAAATATCAAAGATTTTCTATTAATGCTGATTATTTTATATTATCAATTTATATTACAAAGACCTTTAAAACTACTTTAATAAATCGTAAACTTGAAGTTTCTCAAATTATTATTTTCATCCCAGTGCCATTAATTTAAATTGCTAATGGAGAAGTTGAGATACCTGGAGTATAAATAATTCAGTAAAAGGCTTGATGTTGTAAATGCCACTGTATTTGCAAGAAACAAAATTCATAACCAGTCCTGCACACATCTCCTTTCTCAAATATGTCTCTCAACATCTCTCTCTTCTCTGGAATCCTGGAATGGATGTCACACTCTAGCTTTATGTCCCTGCCAATAGCCTCCCCTCTCTCTATAAAGAACGCTTTCCACTTGTAATTTTTATTCTCTACTCATCTTTGAATCACTGTTTAAAATGTACTTGTGAGGGTCCTCCCTGGTGGCAAAACTGGTTGAAGCACAGCACCATGAAGCTATCAGGAGCCACTGCAGCTTGAATTCAAGTCCTGGCCAGGAAGGTTACCCACATGGCTCATCAGACCCTGGTGCTTCCCTCAACATGTATCTCATACATCTGTCTGTTCTGTCCCCCACTCTGTCTCTGGTGTGTCCTCTAACCGCCCCATACCTGTGACCTGTACACTGGTTCTTGTATGTATAATTAAAATGTACTTATGAGAGGACAATTTTGACTCCCTGATCAGCTTTGGTATAAATGTCATTATACTTTTGATAATACTACTTAAAATAATCCATGCTAGCATATTTACCTATGTGGTTGTTTATTTAATATCCAGTCACTGTCACTCTCCCTAGACATTTTAAGATCCAACTACTAAAACTTGACATTTTTCTCATTATTGGTCTGTATTAAAAAAATATGATTTCATTTTTCTCTCAAGACAGAGCAGGAAAATAAAAATAAAGCATATCTCCTTCTGGCTTTCTAAGATTCTACCAGCAGCATGCCAAAGTTAATTTCTATAGCATTTAAAGTAACTGCTTTTCCATAACTCTCCATTAGTAATGTTAAGCATTCAAATAGGAAAAAGACAAATTGGTTTTTAAATATAATAGTTACTATTTTGAAAACACTTGCCAAAACAGAAAATCCCTGCTAACATTTTGGATGTTTAATGATTGGCCTCTATAATAGTCTATAGAAGAAATAACTAATGATGCCAGTGATTAACTTTTAACAATTTTCAGCACACTGAACATAGTGTGCAAAGGTTTATAGCATTTAGTGCATGTTATTACCCTATTCCTCTATTTTTTAAAAGATTTATGCATGTACACAAGAAATGGGGAACAGGCCAGAGGTATGAGTGGTGAGAGGATTCACCAGAGACAGAGTTGGGAACAGAACAGTTAGACTGACTGAAACACACTGCTCAGGGAAGCAGTGGACAACACTGGAGAGTTCTGCCGGGCCATGTGGGTCACCTCCCTATCTGGGGAAAGAACTCATGCTTTAGTGGCTGTGAATCGCTTATAGAGTGATTCACAGCAATTGCTTTAACCTCTTGCACCACCAGGGAGTCCCCTCTTTAATTCTTAACTACCTTTTGTTCACTTTTTAACATCCCTGAAAATGGGAAATTTAAACATATGTGAGAGTGCTGGATGAAAACAGGCAAGACCAAGAAATTTCTGTGTCAGAGTCTTTTGACTGAATGAACTGCAATTTCATAAATTAGGTATATGTGAATATTTTGTTTTAAATCACCAAAAGTCCTGCAGACAAATTAGGCACCATTTTTTCCCTTTTCTCGGAATATTTTCCTGTTGTTTTTTGGGTTAATTAAATCAACTCAATAAAGGTATACCAAACTTACAAATCTCTTAATATTTTCAAAAATACTAATTAATAAGTATTTAATCTTCTTGACAGCCCTGCAAGGAAAGAAAAAAAATGGTGTGTGCATTATCTTGTTATGCAGTATGAAACTAGATCTTGTATTTAGTGCTTTGGTAGTTAAGTTGCTGTGGAAGTTCAAGACAGAAATCCTAACTACTGTGGAGATGCTTTATGTGTTAATTATGGACTTTGAGACTAGAAATCGGAATGCTGTAGCCATTTTTAATGAGGATTTAGTGACACCGCAGACTGTAATCCTTATAATGTGGCAGCTTCACTTTTCATTATTCAACACTGATTCACGGTATGCCACGTTTGCAGTATGAATTGATGTATGCAAGCCTGTGTAACTCCAGGTTTTCATCAGGACAGTGATCTGCTGGACCAGCGGAAACACTGCTTCACTGTGCAGTCTGAGTCTGGGGAGGATCTGTACTTCTCTGTGGAGTTAGACTATGACCTTGCCCAATGGGAAAGAGCCTTCCAAACAGCAACTTTTCTAGAAGTGGAGCGGATACAGGTGAGAGTCTGTGCAATTTTAGGATATTCTATTCTCAGATATTTGAATACTCCCATATGGTTTAATATAAATTCAAATTAGAATAAAGATATATTTCTCTGAATCTTATCTGCTTTCTCAATTACATTTAATAATTGACCACTGAATATTAATCCATGTCAAAGACAGTTTAAATTTTAACACTTTGATCTTTTTATATTTACTTTATTTATGCCTACAAGACCTGGGATGTAGGCTAGAGGTGTGCAGAGGGGTGAGAGGATTTACCAGAGACAGGGTGGTGAGCAGAACAAGCAAATCTACTGAAATAAACTGATGAGGGGAGCAGCAGGCAGGAGGACAAGGAGAGGTCTGTTGAGCCCTTGGCCTGGGATAGATATCAGGACACAATGGTTTGCTACCCCTTGATAACGCTGACACTTATCCAGTGTGCCATCAGAAAGACCCCAATTTGATCTTTTTAGGTTATTTGCAATCATTCATTAGAATTATCTTTCTAATTTTAATTAGAATATATTGCAATTTGAATATAAGAATGAAAATGTCTTGCTATCAATTAATTGTTTAAAATCCTTTTTTCTGTTCTCCAATCATGGTCAACTAGTTATTTTTCTGAATGGCTCCACTCATTGTGCTTTTGGCTGGTATAAAGTCTTTCTCCCATCTCTACTCTTCAAACCACACATGGAATTTGAATATTTTTTCAAACCTTATGTCGACAATAAACACTGTCCTAATTTCTATTCTGCCCTGTGCACTCATTATCAGTACTTCAATATTCCCTTTTTAGTTCATGCCACTCATGAATTCTAATGTCACATTGTGTCTTATGCTGAAATGATGTGTGCCTTTCATTCCCTACACTAAGCTACAAAATCACTGGGGATCCTTTACTCATCTACCAGCTGAAGTATAATGTCTTTTGTACACACCAAGTAGTCAATATTTATTGATTTTTATTTCTTTTTTGTGAAGTTACATCCAGATTGAACTAAATAGAAACACCAAGTTCTACAGTTCATATGATTTAATAAAATATATTTTAATGTACTGCATACTAAAGTGTTTTGCCTGACATAAGTGGCAGTACTTAGAAACAACAATTGAGTCAAGAGTGAAGGGAATTGAATAGCCTTGAACATTTAGTTTTCATCATAGATTTAATAAAAAAACACAATAGGTAGATGCAAGTATGAAAGCTGTCTGTGTATTAAACACGTAAGGTGTAGCTCAAAGTGAACTAATTTGCTTTATGGATGAACTTACATGCAAATGAATAACTTGTCATTTTTTAAATTTCCTCTGCATGTTAGGCTTAAATGCATAAACGTGGATTTTGGAGAGTGCAGTAATGATTTAGCAATTATTATGGTTAAAATGTGACTCACTTACTGTATTTTTATATGTAGTGTTCTAAAAGTAAATAAAAGGATTTGTATTAAAATTTTGTGTGTTATAGGTTTCTCTCTCTCCTTGTATGTAAATTGCAAGTGTTTTCCATCATTTCACTATTACAGTGCTGTTTACAATTACCTGTAAATAAAATGGGCTTATCAACATAAAAACTCATTATCTTGCATATATAAACCCCAAGTTTTTATTTCATGTCTGTGATTCATATATTCCATGATTTTTATTTAGTCTTTCTAAAATATTGATAGAAATATATAATGTAGTGTTTTGGTAATTATAAATTTGGGAAAATCAATAATTTTACATAAATACTAGCAAGTGGTATTATTTTTTAGAAAATTGCTTGTGGTAAATTTCTATAGAAATAAATAAAATATTTATATTCTTATGTTAATATATCCAGAATTTAAGTAATACCATAAAGTTTAATAATTTACTTTTGGTTGATTAAAAATGCAGTGATATTTAGCTATAGAATATGACAAACTTGCATAATCTTAGTCCTAAAAGTTTTTACAGCGTTTGTGTTGCCATTATAACAAAAGGGCACAGTGTGGCCAACGTCAGACAGAATAGGGTTTGCAGTTGGGTCCTGCATATCCCTTTACAAGTCAAAAACCATATAGCTTCTACATATTACTATTGACATTCTGATAATAAGATATTTCTCTTGCAATTATTGCTGATGCTGAGTTAGTAATGCGTAAAGAACTTATTACAGGAGCTACAATACAGTGTTTGATAAATGTTGGCTATTAATACTGACATTGGGTCAATGATGTAAAAAGTAACAGTGTTTTCTGTTCTGTCTAGTGCAAGACGTATGCATGTGTGCTAGAAAGTCACCTAATGGGACTCACCATTGACTTTAGCACGGGATTTATTTGCTTTGATGCTGCAACAAAGGTAATGTCTTCAGGTCAACCCTAAATTCTAGTCTACTAATGAATGAAATGCTTTCTAACTCCTGTCATCATTTTAATTGGTTATAGGGTGTAATGTCCTTGCTTTTCTTTTTTTCTTTTTTTTTGTTTTTCTTTTTTTGATGGCCTCAAACTGAGGGAAAAATTTCATCCCCAAACAGTTGTACTGTCTGGACATGTAACCTTTTTACAAAGGATATATCAATAGCTTTGGTAGTGACATACATTAAACAACAAAGGACACCTTCTAAAAAATAGTAAAACTCAACATGGCTCCCTCCCATTCCCCATTCACCAGTAATCTCCCATTATGGGAGTCACTGATGCAGTTTCGGATTTGAGGCTCAATCTCCATAGAAAGCATTCTCTCCTATATTAATATCAATCCCTTAGATTCCCTCTCCTGTCCACCAAAATGGAAATAAATTGATCTATTAGTTAATAAACTGATCTTTTCATCATTCATTATTTTTTATAGTAATCACTTACTGGGAAACAAATTTATCTAAAAATACACCCTTATACATGATTTCCAAAAGCAAATGCAAATAGCATAAGACAATGAAATATATAGATGAGAAAGGCAGATCAAGTAAAAAGGAAATATTTTACTCTTGGGAAAGATGGCTGTCTAATGTTGTGGCTAACTGTTTAGGGCTGAGTCCACTGGTCACAATAAAGTAAAATGCAGGTGGGTAGTTTTTCCTAACCCAACCATCAAGGTCACCACACAAAAAACTCATATTATTTAAGGAGAACAATATTTATTTTTATTTTTCTGAAATTACATTAAGTTTCTATTAATTCCTATTAAGCGGTATGCATATGTTGATCTGAATTGCTTTTGTGTATTGACAAAAGAATACTTAAGTGTGGGGTTTCAGGTGCAGGCAACTCTTTGATGACCCTCAAAATGTGAATGCCACAAACTTGCCCTAAGCCTATAAACTTTCTTTTTAATAAAATAGTATTTCAAATCAGCATTGGGTCATGTGTGCTAAATTCCACCTAATGAAAACTCGTTTGGTTAATCCCAATGCAGAATTTTAAACTGAATTCAAGTTCTTATTTAAAAATAATATACTATTGCCAAAATAGACATTACACTAAATCATATGAAATTACTCTATTTATTGAGAAATAATAAAACAGGAATATAGTCAAGGAAACATTTATGAGGGGGCAGTAATTATGGTTTGCATCTATAATCAAAGGGTAGTCCCAGTGAATGTCTCACCAGGGTTAGGGCACAGGGAGTTTTCAAGCATCAATACAGGGAGGTGGTCTACAGTCGGGTCATCTGTTTGAAACTTTTGAATTGGTTGACAGAATATTAAGATGGAAACTGTAGCATGATTTTTTGAAAGCAATCACCGGGTAGCCTCCTTGTTTCTTTCCTAATTCTCAGTAAGGAGAGAACAGGAGGGGTTGGTCCTTAAAAAATCACTGATAGACAGTTCAGTAGGGGTACTGAGACAGGCTGTTGACTTTCCATCTAGAAGTCTCAGCATGATAGTTTTGAGATAAGATGGAGATTGTTTAACTCAAAATAGGTTCCACAAAGATTCTCATACTAATAGATTAGAAGGACACATCATTCATCTGAACCTATTTCTTATTATTTCAACTAGTTTGAGTTTCTCTTTTAAGTTAGTGTCTTCTGAAACTGTGTTAGCATCCTCTATTGACTCTGTATGGTAAGACAGAAAGTTGTGACACAGGCACTCTACAATACTTGCCAATGTACACTTTTGTGTGTGTACTAGGACAGAATAATTAGTCAGGAAAGTTTAAGAAACTTAAGTTATTTAAGAAGAAACAAGAGATGATCACTACAAGCTTGACCCAGGAAAAGACAACTTTCAAGTGTAGTAGTCATTGTCCTTCCCTTATGACTATTATGGCAAGTATCTTCTTGAAGGCAATCTGAGAATTGGGGGTGGAGGTGACAGTCTGTATGCACCATAATAAAGATAATATTCTTAAAATTGTGACTTACAGAGAATGACAGGGAGAACTATTAGTAACTATGTAGGACAACAAAAATATACCAGGAGTGTTCTGGAAAAACTAATGAGTTTACCTTACTGCAAGATGGTTGTGTGTGTGAGAGGTTGAAACTCATTGCAGTTTTGATTGAATTGACCAAATAATAAATGATGATATGTGTTTTATTTGCCTTGTAACTGTTGGCCATCTGTATGTCTTCTTTGGAGAAGTGTTTGAGTCTTCTGCCCATTTTGTGGATTGGGTTGGGTTTTGTTTTCTTTTTCTTAACATGTATGAGTTTGTAGAATTTGGATATTAGCCCCTTGTCAGATGAATTGTTTGCAAAGAATTTCTAACACTCAGTAGGATATTATTTCATCTTTATTTTTATAGTTTATACAGTATATCTTATTAACATTTTTTGTATTAATAACTGTTGCCATAGTACACCCACAAGAAGGATCCATAGTCACCACCACAGACTCTAGTGTTCACTCCCTTCTCTGCCTTTTTTCCTCCCCTTCTAACCTCTCTCTTCTCCTATGGTTTCACTCATTTCACATCAGGTTTCAAGGGTTAGCTTTTTAGTTTGGCAAGAGTTTATCTTTTATGGTAGCAGAATAGTATGCCATTATATAGGCATATGCTGCATCTTCTTTTTTATTATTATTTTAAATATTTTATTTATTTATGCATACAGAAATAGATACAGGTCAGAGGTGCAGGGGCGGTGAGAGGATTCACCAGAAATAGAGTGGAGAACAGAACAGGCAGACTGACAAAGTACACTGCTGAGGGGAGAAGCTGATGAGACAGGAGGTCTGCTGCACCATGTGGGTTACCTCTGGGGTGGGGATCGAACTTGCACTCAAGTGGCCACCACTTAGCTTAGCTTTGCAGTGCAACACTCTGACCCTCTGAACCACCAGGGAGGGCCTATACTTCATCTTGTTAACCCACTCATTTTCTTTTTAGCATTTTGGTGGTTTCCATAGCCTGACTTTTGTACATAATGCAGCAATGAAAATGAGAGTATAATTTGTAACCTTACAAATTAGTTTCTTTTCTGTGTTTTTTGATAGATATTTAGGTATGGGATAGCTGGGTCATTTGGCAAACCCATTTGCAATCTTTTGGGAAACATCCACTGTTTTTCTATAGTCTACATTCTCACCAGTAGCATAGCAGGGTTCTGATTATAACAGGGTGATCCTCAGAAAAAGGGAGATTCCAGGTTCCCTGACCCACTTAATGGAGGGTGGAGCTGAGAACGGAGGAGAAGAAGCTGGAGACAAGACTGCAGTGGGAAAAAAAAAAGCAGGGTTTAGAACCAGAAGGAGACCTGAAGGAGGCACAAGCTGCAGAAAGACATGTGAAGAAAACTATGCTTGCTTCCTAGCCCTGGGCTGGTTGAAACAGATGTGGGTGAGAGACCTGTGGGGAGATTTACAATGGCAGCTATTGTCTTCATTTTGACTTTGTTCTTTTCCTCCCAGACTTGTCTGACTGTTGTTGATCCTTTCTATGGGTCCCTACTGGAAGGTGCTTTAGACTTTTGGTGAGCTTTTAGGTCTTTCTTTATGCCAGTCCTGTTTGGCTTTTACTCATGAGGGGAGGGTTAACTTTGGGTGCTAGATTTGGAAATCATATACTTTGTCTTATCTGCATCTCACAGTAATTGCGTTAAAGTTTGTTTCCATTAAATTTCTTATATGTTTTAACTTAATTCAGAGGATGTCAGAACCTATGTAGGTCAGGCAGGTTTGGAAGTTATGGGCCATCCGTGGTTAAACAGCCCCACTGGAAAATTTGGTTTCCCCAAAGTACTAGCACCATAAGTGCAAATGTAGTTTTGTTTTTTCTAGTATGTTTACTTCAGATTTATGTAAATTTGCTGGTTTGTTTTGACTAATGACTCCAGACACTTTGTTCTTTTAACATAAACTGATAAGCTGTTTTCTAAAAATAAAGGACTGTCATATTAGACATTCATAGACAATGCTGGCAACTACTTTTTCTTTCTCCTACATACACTAAAATCCAAAAAAAAAAATAAAATAAAATTCTCCTAAGGCTACACCCTGAAATCTGGTCCATTGCAGATATGGTACAATATATTTTGTTTTGATTTGTTTTGTTTTAATTGTAATTGTGGTCCTCCAGAAAAAGGGATGATTCCAGATGCCCTGGCCCACCCATGGGAGGGTAGAAAGGAAACTGGAGCAATACAAAACAGAATGGAGAACCAAAATGTGACTTAAAAAAGACAAACAAACAACAACAACAACAGCAACACAAAATGGTTTGCTTCTTGATCCTAGATTGGTTAAAACAGATGTGGGTGAGAGACGCATAAAAAAGATTAAAAATGACAGCTTTTAAAAAAAATTTAATTTTGCTCTGTTTCTCCCAGAGTCGTCTACCTTTTTTTAATGCTGGTCTGTGGTTCCCTGCCCAAAAGTATAAATTTGCAGCAGGCTTTGAGGCCTTGCTTTGGACCAATCCTGTTTGTCTAGACTTTACCCACAAGAAAATAAATAACTGTGGACACTAAATTTAAAAAACTAGATTATTTGTCTTGTCTGTATTACACACAAATTATATTAAAGTAGCTATCTATTAAAGCTTTTATATGGTTTGTCTTAATGTGACAAATGACAAAACCTACTTACAGCAACAGGATTGGCTGTTCTGTGTGCTCTTTCCCCTGCCCTGTAACAGTTTTACTCCACACCCTCACAAACATTTACTTTTTCTTATCTTGTGATATTGGCCTTTCACACAGGTGTGTGATGGTATCTCATTGTGGTTTTGATTTGCATTTCTCTGACTATAAGTGATGGTTCTTGTTCTTGTAGGTCGTTTGTATGTCTTCCTTTGAGAAATGCCTATTTAATCCTTCTGTCCATTTTTATTTTTATTTATTTTTTAAGATTTATTTATGTATGCATACAGAAGTGGGGTACAGGCCAAAGGTTCATGGGCAGTAGAGGG